GGAATACGGCCGGTGCATTGCATAGCCCAAAGGGCATAACAAGGTACTCATAGTGCCTGCATATAGTGTTAAATGTCGTTTTCCACTCATGATTTTCCTTGATTCTTACTAAATTGTATGTACTCCTGAGATCCAGTTTGGTGAAGATCTTAGCACCCTGGAGTCTATCAAACAATTCGGAAATGAGAGGAATAGGATAGGCATTCTTAACAGTAATCTTATTTAATGCTCTGAAGTCAATGCATGGATGTAATTCTCCATCTTTCTTTTCTACATAAAAGAAGCCTGCACCAGCAGGTGAGGATGATTTCTGTATATGGCTCTTGTGAGTCTTTGATATATTCTTCCATTATTTTACTCTCCACCTAAAGGGACATATACTGCCCCTTTAGGTGGCATAGCGCCAGGTAACAGATTTATGGAGCAGTCATATGACCTGTGAGGAGGTAAGATATTGGACTGACTCTTACTAATTACTTACTTAACCTCCCGGTATTGTATGGGAACTTCGGGAGTTTGAGGTGTAGTAGTGGGTAATTTAATGGTACCCACTCTAATGGTGAGGTGTAACATACACTTCCCATTACAATCCTTTCCCCATTCCAATATTTCCCCATTAGCCCAGTCGATATAAGGGTTGTGCTTACTAAGCCAAAGAAAGCCTAATATGATAGGGCAAGAAGGAGATGAAATAACTTGGAATATTATATCTTCTTTATGTAAGGCACTGTGACGAAGTGCCCTTCGCCACTTGGTCCTGGAGAGGCCTACTTGCCAGCCTCCTCCCCTGTGACTATGACTCTTTCATCTATCTGGCTTTAAAGCCCCTAGTCTACCTTCAGACAGACTATTTATGTGGGCTGCTTTATTTATCCTATGTTTTAGTCACCCTGTACCCATTATAGGTGCAGGGTGTGTAATGTAATTGTTTATAGTGTGTGTGTATGTACTGTGTAATGTATTGCCTGCTCTCTTGTATTGCTGAGGTTTGCTACCAACTAGGTGGGTTTGGCTATGGAGCTGGTCTAGTGCCCTCTGTTGGTAGCAACATCAATATGCACTACCTGAATTGCAAGACTGGTTCATTTGCATATTCGGGTAGATTTGCATATTGCTAATTCTGCAGGCAGGTGAGATATTTACTGTTAAATATTGTCTCCCCCCACCCCTTTAAAAATGTGCCATTGTGTTGTGATAAGTCACTGTGTGTTTCTTGATATGGTTTGACTGTTTGTGATTTTATTGATGTTTCACAACAATGTTATTGTGGTGACTGTATTGGCTGGTCCCAAGGGAATAAAGGTTTTGACAGTTCTTCTTGATCCCTCTAAACGTAGCCTTGTCTTGTTATTGGAGGGAGCTGTTATAATCACACTGGGGATTGCTATGCTCTGCATGCTCCCCTGAGCTTGAGTCACTTAGCTCTTTTAAGAGCTTGTTCCTGACACGCTCTCCTTGGAGGAGGGGTCTTCACCACACAGTCCTGGATGCTGGAGGTTCATACAGGGTGGATGGAAGACGGCGAGACTCCAGCCAAGATACGGCGGTTGTGGAGTCTGCGGTGGTTGTGGTGTCTGCTGCAGTGTTTGGAGTCCTCAGGAAGCGCTAGGAGCATCCATCAACAGAGGGTACTCGGTCGGAGTACAGGGAGCTCCGTTACAGGCACCAATAGACATATTAATGGGCAAGGTTTCACAGGTAATTAAGGGTTGACAGAGTGGTCTCCATCAATAGTCTCAACGGCCAGAGGTGATATTCTCTCCTTGATAGGTATAGCATTATTTTTAACAAAATGAACATCAATTACATTTCCTGCTGCACCTGAGTCCATCAGGGCCTTGCATGAAAAGTTATTTTTGTCAACTATGATCGTAATATCAAGGAGAAATCTATTTATGTTATTCCCAGAGGACGTATCCATTACACCTAAGACCCCTATAAGGTTCTTAGGTGCGGTAGTTTTCAGGACATATGAGACAAGTACTCCTCATATGTCCTTTCTCACCACAGTATATGCATAGATCCTCTCTTCTCCTATGTTTTCTTTCTGCCTCGGACAGTCTAGTGACCCCCAACTGCATAGGTTCAGACTGTATAGAGAGGTCAGGAACAACCGGTCTGGTCTTTATTTCTGGTTCTGAGTCTGTTATCAATTAGCATAATAAATGTAATAAACTCATTGAGTTTTTTGGGTAGTTCTTTGGCAGCAATCTCATCCAACATAGTCTCAGATAATCCCTCCTTAAATGCTGAGATTAATCCGCTGTTAGTCCAGTCTACCTAGGAAGCCAATGTGCGAAATTCTATGGCATACTCCGAGATAGGCCGGTTCCCTTGTCTAATATGCATTAGGGCAGTGAAGGCGTCATCATCCTTGCCTAATGGTTCAAACGTAAGTTTAAATTCCGCAAAGAAATCATGGTAATTGTGTGCAATGCTCCTACTACTCTCCCATAACAGATTGGTCCAAGCTAAAGCTTTCCCTTTAAGTTGGTTTATCAGGTAACCAATTTTAGCTCTGTCAGTGGGAAAAGATCCCGGTGAGGCCTCAGAAAGATACTGAATTTGGTTAATGAATCTTGAATATTACCATCGAAATGCAAGGGAGGAGATAGGGAGATAGTAGGTACCTTATGTACTACAGGAGGTACATTAGGCTGAGGTGACACAGTTGGAGAAACCGCAGGTTGCAGATGCGCTGTTCGAGTAAGGAGCGTACTGAAAGCCTGGGCAAACTGATCTATACGGTGATCATCCTCCACTAGCTTTCTTTCACAAGCAGCTATGTGCTGACACAATTCTACAGGATCTATGGCCATGTCGTAATGTCAGAATTACTAGTTGATCCAGCACGTAGAATTGTGTCACGCAGATGACTAATAGGTAATTTATTACCGGGCCTTAGAATGGACGGACTTAACGTACCAAAGAGTAGTCAGGATACTTGCCGAGGTCAGGGGATACAGAAAGAGACACAACGATAAGGGATAGCCAGAAGTCAGGGATACCAGAATACAGGGAAGTCAAAATAAAAGCCAAAGTAAAAAAACAGAAGAAACTTGAATTAGGAACGCACTCTCGGACAACCACTAGGGAAATTACCATTTACATAATTGCTGCTCAGCACAAACCCTCCTGTGAATTTGATTACTGCTCGGCACAACTTTTCCTGTCAGGACAGTAATGTTGCTCGGCACAACTTTTCCTGTCAAAACAGTAAATGTCATTAATCACATTTTTATATGCGGATGAATATGTGTTATTGTTATTGATACTCCTTGTAGTAAACTTTTATAAATATATTGCATATTTGCATTTTATTATTTTTCATTAATATCTCTCCTTTGAATATTTTTTTAATTCTATCACCAAAAAAAACACAAGCTAACCCCATTTGATATAAATAACCATATGGGGAACGTGTTTTGATCTTATATATGTATATTTAACTATTTAATTTCTCTTTTTTTCCCATACCATACAATGGTTATTATGGCTGACCTTTTTTCCAACTTAGCAGCTTACCTACTTCCGCCGACATCACTTCCGGGTGACGGAGTGCATTAATTTACATCATTAGCAGGAGTCAATGTACACAAACATTGCGTAATTTCCATTGCAACGCTGGACCCACCAACTTGGAAATGACCTAAACTAAACGCCTGAATTCACTGATTGAAGATCATAGTCTTTATAAGTCAATATTCTGGCCTGTGAGTTATTAACTTTTGAGAAAGCCATGGCGAAACGCATTAAGTGAGGACCTGCAACCAGACCATCTCTAGTTGTAAGACCAAAAACCCAAAGACCAAAAACACAAAGGCACATATCACCAGAATGTAGAAAAATATATCAAAATGATAGATACACTTGGGAAAAAATTCAATACAATACCACATAGTAGGAGAACTAAGAGAGAAAGGTCATGATCACCAATAGAGCGAATAGAAAGTAATAGGTACCATGCCCTGTTATTTTGCGAACAATTCGATGACTCTTTTTTTTAGAGATTCTCTCAAACAAGGAGAGAGATGCAAATGATCTAAACCTTACCCCAATAGCAAGTCGAAAAAGATCTATAGAGGAAGAAGGTCACAACAAAAAAAGGGAGTTTAGACAGATTTTAAATAAAAAAGAAGACCACAATGGTGTTTTTAATTTGTCAAATAAAAATCTAACAGATACACAGATAAATGTCCTAAAAAAAAGTCTCAAATTTGCACTTGCAAGGACATACAATGGATTTCATGCCTTCATTGATATTAATAAATTTGTTAGAAATGTTACATTGAAGCGATACTTTTTAAGTAAAAAACATAAGGTAACCATGGTCCAATCGGACAAATTGAGACAGAAAACAAAATCTTTTTATACCTCTTACTGTAAATCCGGAGCACCTGAAGAGTGATTGATAAAGAGATGAAAAATAAAACATGCGTGTATGTTATAGAGTGTCTGATAGTATTCTCGAAATTCCTCCGCTATTTTGTTCGGGAGAGTCGACATGGCACCTGTCGAGAGGCGCAGGTTACGTACCTGTGTGCGTGGGGTGTTTCCCTTCAGAAGACGTGCCAAGTACCTTCCCCCTTTGTTGGCGGGGGTGTAGAAGAACCCCTTGGATCGCTGAATAGATCGGAGGTGGCGTTTCGTAAGGATGTCCTTCAGACGCTGTCTAGCTTGCATTAGTTCCCCGTACGTCTCCATCAGTCAGGATCGCTTGTGTCGTTATTCCAGTACCGCGATCGTTTTATAGAGTTCTGCCATCTCTCGCGTCGCTATCTTTTTCTTTTGAGAGGCGATTCGGATGAGCATACCCCGGATAACACTTTTATGTGCTTCCCAGATCGAGATTGGGGAGGTCCCCTGCCCGTCATTGTCCTGAAAGTAGTGTTCCAGTGCCTGGGAGACCTGTTCGCGGACATCTGGGTCGAGAAGGAGGGCCTCATTAAGTCTCCATGTCCATTTAGAGGGCCGAAAAAGTGGTGATTCTAATTCGATCGTTACCGGGCCGTGATCTGACCATGTTGCGGGGTCCAACCTGGTTGATAGCAGCCGCTGGAGGCCCACCTGTCGTGTGAACATGTAGTCGATCTGTGAGTATCGATCATGCAATGCAGAGTAGTATGTAAAGTCTCTGGTGGTGGGGTGGAGGGTTCTCCAGCAGTCCACAAGTTCCATGTCTCCGAGAGCCCTCTTCATGGATCGTATATGGAGTTGTGGGATGCTGCTATGTCTTGTCGAGGAGTCCATGATGGGGTCCAGTGGGGTATTAAAGTCTCCCCCCAGAACTAGGGTACCCTCCGAGAAGTCGCTTAATTTGTTCAGCGCCTTCCTGAGGAACTGAGCCTGTCGCTTGTTAGGTAGGTATATATTAGCAAAGGTGTAGAGCATGCCTGTGATGGTTCCCTTCACATATAGGAAGCGACCCTGCCCATCCAGCATGCTGTCCAATCCCTGGAACCCCCAAATCCGCCGCCACCAGGATAGCTGTCTTGCGCGCAGTTGGATGATCACAGAAGTAGTTTGCTGGGTAGGATTTATTTTGTAGCTTTGGGGCAGCATCCTTTCGGAAATGTGTTTCCTGTATCAATGCGACTGATATGCGACGTTTCCTTAGTTCCCTAAGCAAGTGAGTCCGTCTTTCCGGTATATTTAACCCTCTACAATTAAGGGTGAGGACAGTCAGGGAAGCGGGGCAGTACGCATCAGCGCTCCCATGATTAAACAGCATTTTAAATATTCAAGAGATTAACTATTTAAATGTACAGCACCCAAGAACTCCTGTTATATATTTCCTCTCAAAGATACATACATGTCTAAATAATCCTCCAGGAAGACCCATTGCCTCAGGCATTGGGTCTGTCCTATCAAATCTATGTGAGTATATAGATATTATGTTTCAACCTAGTGTCAATCTCTGTAAAATCTACCTTACAGATACAATAGAACTCCTAAGCAAATTGAAGGATTTAGTTTGGAAGGATAATTATGCTTAAATTAATTCTGCATAACAAAGGAATCTCAGCTGTAAGGACTATATTAGAAAAGTACAATGATATGAACCAAAGCCAAATAGATTTTTAGTTGAAGGCATATGAATAATTTTAAATAACAACTATTTTTGGTTCACCAATTCTTTTTATCTCCAGAAGAATGGAAGAGCCACGGGTACCAGGTTCGCACCCAGCTATGCCAACCTCTTCATGTCTGAATTGGAGGATAGAACTGTATGGAGGGGGCATGGCTGGGTTTGTAACCTGGTCTCTTATTTTAGGTATATAGATGACCTTCTTTTTATATGGGATGGAACTCTGCTTGAGGCCAGGGATTTTATTGATCTTCTAAATACCAATAAGGAAAGTATTGTTTTAATAGCTAATTTTAGTAAAAAATAAGTTATTTATGTACGTAATAATACCCTTTGCACAAAACTCACTTTAAAGAAGTTCATACAAACACATTTATCAATAAATTCAGTTGCCATAATCCAGTTTGGATACAGAGAGTACCTAAAAGCCACATTTTAAGACTCAGAAGGAACTGTTCAGATATAGCCACTTTTAACAAACAAGCAAATGATATAAAACACAAATTCATACATAAAGGATATGATAGCTGCAGGATGTATGCCGTAAATGGAGACGTAAGCAAAAAAGACATGTCAGAACTACTAAAACCGAAAACTCTAGAGAAAAAATACATTCACCCAACCATTAATCTTCGATTACAATAAAAGTCAGTATGTAGGAAGAACCACAAAAAGCAATGTGTGTGCACAAACCACAGTGCAATAAGTGCTCAATAGATAAATAGCAGAAAAAAACCTCCCTGAACCAGGTAGGATTTTCCCCAAAGACTTCCTCTTATATTCTTGTCTAGAATATATGTAGCAAAAAAGGGGATGATCTGCTAAATGAATAACAAGAACAATGCATAGCGCATAACTGTGTTTATGAGTAAACCAAATGTATAAATGACAAGTGGCCACTCACACTTTCGTTGAAATAAGAATGCCTTGAGAATAAATTGCTTTTTTCAGCATAAATGCTTTTCCAGGAAAAGTTCTTCCACCTCTTTTAAACTCTCATGGAACAATTAAAAGGTGTGTGCTCAAAAAGAAAAAAATATAGAACTGTAGTACACATTTAAAAATGTAGAAAAAATAATTTAATCACTTACATCTAAATATAAAACAATGGATGTATTCTCACTGTCACCACCAGGGGTCCTACGCGTTTCGTCCGTATGTAGGACTTCCTCAGGGACTTCAGTGACCAGAAATGACATCATACAAATGAACAATATAAAAAACCCTTCCCTCCTCCACCCTTTATACCCCCCCAATGTCCACAAAACTCTTTATTTGATCCAGGTGTTTTCGGTCCGGCGGCCGATTTCTATGACGTCATCCTATGCGCCCGTCCATCTCACATGCGTTCCACCATGCGTTCCACCGCCGAAACCCGGAAGTACTCCAAGTCTTCAATTCACAAGTCACACATCTTTTTCTCTTTTTCAAAGTCCCTTTCAAAAGGCACAAATTCAGTGTATATGGACCGGAGGCAGAAAAAAAGAGAGTGGGGGCACTACAGAATTCTAGTTATATAAGGTTTACTCATAATACACCAAACTCAATCCTAATAAAACTTATATAAACTGTATAAATATATAAAATACATTTAGAGTTGGATGAAATAAATTAAATAAAAAATTATTAAAAAATAAAAATGAAAATAAGGATGAAAATAAGAAAAAATAAAACTGAAAATAAAAATAAAATTAAAAAATAAAAAGAATAATAATAATAAAAAATATATAAAAATATATAAAAAATGAAAAATAAAAATGAAAAATAAAAATAAAAACAAAAATAAAAGAGCACACACATTTATAGGGTGATCAAAACGTGATATCCCAATTTATGTTGCATTCTTTCAAATATTCCATAGGATATAAAATATCCATAATACTTTATTCTTTTTCTCCACTCATAAATAAATTGCCCCCTTGTTTATATTCAAATCTAGTTCTAATTATATCGAATTTATATTCATTGAACTCTGTTTCGTATTTTGAATTCTATATTCTGGGATTCAATTGAATTCTAAATATATATATATATATATATATATATATATATATATAATTATTCTTATTCATTGAATTCTATTCTACATTATATGATTTAATTTAATTTTTCAATTTAATCTATTTGAACTATTTCTATTTTATACTATATGATTAAATTTAATTCTTTAATCTAATCTATTTGAACTATTTCTTGAATTGAATGATGAGATCGATTTCTAAAATTGATTAAACACTCTTTTTTTTAGATATTCCATCAAAGAAAAAAGAGGAGAAAAAGAATAAAGTATTATGGATATTTTATATCCTATGGAATATTTGAAAGAATGCAACATAAATTGGGATATCACCTTTTGTTCACCCTATAAATGTGCTCTTTTATTTTTGTTTTTCATTTTTATTTTTCATTTTTTTTATAAATTTCTTATTATTATTCTTTTTATTTTTATTTTCATTTTTATTTTTGCTTATTTTCATCCTTATTTTCATTTTTATTTTTTAATTATTTTTTATTTAATTTATATCATCCAACTCTAAATGTATTTTATATATTTATACAGTTTATATAAGTTTTATTAGGATTGAGTTTGGTGTATTATGAGTAAACCTTATATAACTAGAATTCTGTAGTGCCATTTGAAGTGTGTAACCTTCCCCCACTCTCTTTTTTTCTGCCTCTGGTCCATATACACTGATTTTGTGCCTTTTGAAAGGGACTTTGAAAAAGAGAAAAAGATATGTGACTTGTGAATTGAAGACTTGGAGTACTTCCGGGTTTCGGCGGTGGAACGCATGTGAGATGGACGGGCGCATAGGATGACGTCATATAAACCGGCCGCCGGACCGAAAACACCTGGATCAAATAAAGAGTTTTGTGGACATTGGGGGGGTATAAAGGGTGGAGGAGGGAAGGGTTTTTTATATTGTTCATTTGTATGCTGTCATTTCTGGTCACTGAAGTCCCTGAGGAAGTCCTACATACGGACGAAACGCATAGGACCCCTGGTGGTGACAGTGAGAATACATCCATTGTTTTATATTTAGATGTAAGTGATTAAATGATTTTTTCTACATTTTTAAATGTGTACTACAGTTCTATATTTTTTTTCTTTTTGAGCACACACCTTTTAATTGTTCCATGAGAGTTTAAAAGAGGTGGAAGAACTTTTCCTGGAAAAGCATTTATGCTGAAAAAAGAAATTTATTCTCAAGCCATTCTTATTTCAACGAAAGTGTGGGTGGCCACTTGTCATTTATACATTTGGTTTACTCATACACATAGTTATGAGCTATGCATTGTTCTTGTTATTCATTTAACAGATCATCCCCTTTTTTGCTACATGTAGGAAGAACCACCAGACTCTTAAAAGTTACACAGGCTGATCATTGCCAAAATATTGAAAAAGGATTTAAAAATCACTCTGTCTCCGCTCATTTCAGCGTGCATAACAATAATCCCAGCATACTAAAATGTATAGGCATAGATAAAATCACAAAGCACTGAGGTGGTGATGTGGTGAATAAACTAGGGAAATTGCACCCTGTTCCAAATTATTATGCAAATTATATTTTTCTCATTTACCTAAATAATTGATGTAAATAACAGTCAGCATAATTCTCATGTTATCAACTATTAAGAGAACAATTCAAATTTTATTGAACAAACCTCCTAATGATAACAGTATTTTTTTAAACTTAAAAAACTTACAATGCACTGTTCCAAATTATTACGCACTCTAAGTTTCAAAACACTTTATTGGTTGTAAAGAACTGAAAATTGTCATTTGTTGTGTTTGCAGCATATTTACTAAAATCAAAAGCTATTTAAATCAAACTTATAACAACATTTTAACTTTTTAAACATTTTAACAGGTCACATTACATTTTAACATAGGACCCCTTATTTTATAGCAGCTTCACAAGTCTTGCATCCATTGAACTTGTGAGTTTTTAGACAGTTGCTGCTTGAATTTGTTTGCAAGATGTCAGAATTGCCTCCCAGAGCTGCTGTTTTGATGCAAACTGCCTCCCACCCTCATAGATCTTTTGCTTGAGGATGCTCCAAAGGTTCTCAATAGGATTGAGGTCAGGGGAGGATGGAGGCCACACCATGACTTTCTCTCCTTTTATCCCCATAGCAGCCATTTATGCAGAGGTACTTCTTTGCAGCATGCATGAAGATGATTTTATTATGGAAAGCATAGTTCTTCCTTCTGTACCAGGGAAGAAAGTGGTCAGTCAGAAACTCCACATACTTTGCAGAGGTCATCGTTACACCTTCGGGGACCCTAAAGGGGCCGACCAGCTCTCTTCCCATGATTCCGGCCCAAAACTTGACTCCACCACCGCCTTGCTGACATCGCAGCCTTGTTGGAACAGGGTGGCCGTCCACCAACCATCCACTACTCAATCCATCTGGACCATCCAGCGTTGCACGGCACTCATCAGTGAACAGGACTGTTTAAAAATTAGTC